GCGTGTGCGTGCGTGTGTGTGTGTGTGTGTGTGTGTGACATTTGCTTTGCCACCAGCAGGACAGAATTGAGAGGGTTTTCACTTTTAAAGCTGTGTAATTAATGTCACCCTCTGAGGGCCTCTGTCACCCCCCACTGCTGAGACTGGTCGCTGGCTGCAGGCCAACATGCAAACGCTGCTACACTCGTTTACATCAGAAAGTGAAGAATGTCTCAGTTACTGCAGATTTACTTTTTACTGCTAAACCGATTCTGCTTATCGAGACAGTAAATCGTTCCATTACGCTCTGAAGGTGTCCCCTGATTTTTTTTGAAGTTTTTCTTTCTTTGTCCTCCTTCTGTCATCTAAAAGCAATGCTGGTCAGTGATTGGCAGTTGAGCCCTTGTCCTGATTGGCCCTGCATTCAGGTTGGACGCAGTTGGCCATGCTTTCCCTAGATGAGCCGTTGGACCTGAAACTCCCACGCGGGCGGGTCAGTGGGCGGGACCGAGCGGCCAGGGCCCCGCCCACCCTCGCTGCCTCCCTGCTGCAGGCTAAGCGGGCTCGGCAGCTGCGCATGGCTGACGATGGGACTGCGGTCATCGTTCCCGCCTCGCCAGCTTCCGCCCACACAGGTAAACTCCCCCTTCATAAACACTACCACTTGTTGCACTAGAAAGCAGCTAAGCAATATTTAAATACATGTAAGATGCTTCTAAAAACACTTTGACCCGCTTTGGCCTGCTTTGGCCTGCTTTGGCCTGCTTTGGCCCGCTTTGGCCCGCTTTGGCCTGCTTGGCCACAGGTAGCATGGTGGATAACATGGACGTGTGAAGTAGTTCCGTAGAGCCATGTGCTCCTGAGTTCATCTTACACGTGGGTGCTGCTGTGTATCACAGAGCTCCCCCTGCTGACGGGCCCCTCACCACACTCTGTCACCTGTCTTTCCAGGTGTGCCCGCAGTCCCTCAGGAGAAGCCCGAGGCCCGGACCCCCCCAGCTGTGGACCTGAGTGTGTCGCCCCCCTCCTGCAATACCCCTTCTCCCCAGGGGCAGTGCAATGGAAACGGCTCTGGCTCCCTATTCCTTGGGGTCAGTACTGGGGGGGGGTACTGTAGGGGGCACCCTAAGCTCAGATCCAGGCCACACTTCTGCCACTGCAGGCACACACACCTGAAGGACTGTATGTAAACTGCCCCCCCCCCCAGCCCATCAAAGCGCAACCTGGATTTCACCCGGCCGGTACCATGACACTCTCATCTTGAGGCAATGCCACTATGTACACAGAGGTACCGCATGCCAGCCCCCCCGTGACCCCACCCTGCCCTTTTTCAGGGTCGCTCTTCAGGGATGGTTGTTTCATAAAATGCCCCCTGTGTCCCAGCAAACAAGCCCCCTCTGTGTGTCCCCCCCCCCCTCCTTGCCCCCCAGCGGGCTGTGGGCTAAATCCGATTTGGCTCTGAGTGCAGCCACACAGATCTCACGTCGCTAATGCGATTCCCCCCGCTCAGCTCCAGCTGCTGGGTCTCCCTTTCATGTCCCAGACCCCCGGCCCGTGAATAGATAATGGCGTGACCCTGGGAACGGAGCGACCGGCCCCTCAGCTAACTGTGTGCTCCCCCAGTTTGCAAGGCCGCCGTTCAGGTCACCTCCAGGGAGTTTGCGTGTCACCTGAACACGGGCGTTCTCCCTTTCCAGGATGAAAAGCCTGATCAGACTGAATCAGGTGCTAATTCCTCACCCCACTGCCCAGGTACTTGGACCTGGGGGACTGCTTAGAATGTCCACCATGTCTCTGGTCACAATCTGCTAATTATCCCAGCACAGGACAGGTGTTTGCTACTGTAAGAGCTGCACCATCTGCATGCAAGGTGTGCCTGGGTGAGACCCTGTATCGCCAAGGACAGTATTCTCCCCCCCCACCCCCATCCTAAGTGTTTTAAGATTAATTATATATGAATAAAAATACCCCCCCCCCCCAATCACCTTCCATCTTCCTTACATTCGTAAATGTAACGTCTCCGGTCGCTCCTGCAGGACTCCGCCCACATGCGTTTCCTGGAGGGCAGGCCTTCTTCGCAGACCTACCAGTTCTTCCTGCCTATTGGCTCAGGGGCCGGGCTTCACCTACAGTCCTCCATGTTCATTGGCCAGCAGAAGGAGAGGCTGGCTTCTCCTGATCTCTCAGCAGACGAGCAGCTGGCCTGTCACTGGAAAAAAGTAAGAGCTGTTTGTAAGACGTGTGTCACCAGTAGGAGCCACACCGACTAACTGCTCCTAATATAAGTTAAACCAGCAAATGCCTTTGAGTCTAAATCCCTAACTGTTCATTAACTAGTTGATAAAGCTCCGGCCCACGTAGGTATGAAGGTCACCCACCCTCTCTGCTCACGTTCCTTCCGTATAGTGCCACCTTTCATTCAGCTCCCTGCAAGATCTGGTGGACCACGTCAACGACTTCCACGTCAAGCCCGAGAAGGACACCGGCTACTGCTGTCACTGGGAGGGCTGTGCACGCAAGGGGCGTGGCTTCAACGCCAGGTGAGGGGAGGGGGAGGGAGGGACAGAGAGAGAGACAGAGAGCTGAGCGAGCAGCGCTTGTGCTGATTGGCTCCTGGTCGCATCCTCCTGTGTCTCCTAGGTACAAGATGCTGATCCACATCCGCACCCACACCAACGAGAAGCCCCACCGCTGCCCCACCTGCAACAAGAGCTTCTCACGCCTGGAGAACCTCAAGATCCACAACCGCTCACACACAGGTCAGTGGGAGGAGCCTAACACACACACACCTTGGCGGTGGCCTTGACAACATCATACTGGACCAGCAGCTGGCTGTCTGCTCTGTAAATCCCCCCCCCCTGCTCCTTACACACCTCCTGTTCTCCCCCCTCCCCCCAGGAGAGAAGCCCTACATTTGCCCGTATGAGGGCTGCAACAAGCGCTACTCCAACTCGAGTGACCGCTTCAAGCACACACGCACACACTATGTGGACAAGCCCTACTACTGCAAGATGGCCGGCTGCCTGAAGCGCTACACGGACCCCAGCTCCCTGCGCAAGCATATCAAGGCTCACGGGCACTTCGTGGCGTCGGAATCGCCGCCCCTACCTGGTGGTGCGGTGAAGGCGGGGGGCGCGATTGGGGTGGTGGGCGGCGCCAGCAACGAGGTGGAGCTACCTTACGTGAGCGGCGCCCACATCATCATCCCGGGGCCCGGGGCCCTCTTGGGGGGCCACACACTGCGGGGCCTGAGTGCCGCAGTGCCGCTGTCGCCCTTGAGCCCCCGTCCCCTGGACCTGAGCACAGTGGGCTGCCCCGGATCGCCCCCCCCGGGGCTGGCCGGGGCCCCCATCTTCTCCCTGAACGGCTCTCCGTTGAGCCTGGCTAAGTCGCCGCTCCTGTCCTCTGCGTTCTCCTCCTCAGCACTAGGCCTCCCCATGGTGTCCCTGCTGGGCCCGGACCGCAGGGGCCCCGGCCGACAGGGCAAGGGCAAATCCCGAGGGGAGGGGGCCGAGTGCGACGGGCTGCCGGGGGCGGTGCTCAACCTCTCCACAGGCACCGGCCACGAGTCGCTCTCCCCGGGCTGGGTGGTCATCCCGTCTGGGCCGGTGGTGCTGAAGCCAGCTGTGGTCAACTGACACGTTCATTCCAGCAAAGGTCACTGGGGGGGGGGGGTTAGAGGTATTTGTCAGGCCTGCTGCTTTTTGTTTTTGTTTTTTTTTCTCCAAAAGATGGGAAAAAAGACAGATTTTTTTCCCACTAATTCTCTTAGCCATGATTTTAAGGTAATCGCGATTCCAAAATAGGTGTGGAAAGCAGGTCCGCTCCATCAAGCCTGCGCCTTCCAACACGCTCCCGTAACGCAGCGTATGACTGACACGCTCACATGTTTAGTGACACACTCCTCAGACGTGGGGATTAATGCCTAGTGGCCTTGCCCAAGCCCCGGTTTATTTGTATATGTCTGTTTAAAAAGCTGATTTGACAGGCGAGCACTGTGAGTCATGTAACTGCAATCTACCTGCCCCCCCCCCCATAATATCTAAAAAATATTTCACGGTGCCGTGAATGATCAGAGAAGCCAGCATAACTGGACCAATTAAACCACAAAGATTTAAGCGTGGGCCAATTAACAGGGTGGTGCCGGGGGGGGGAGAAGGGAGGTGAGTAGCCCCCATCTCCTGCTGTTTGGAGCCTTTCTTTAATTGCACCTCCTCAAAAAACACAGAGAGGCCAGTGCATCTTCAGGAAGTTACATGGAATAACAGCACAGGGAGATTACAGGGCGCAGAGAGTGTGACCTCACAGGGCTGCCTGGACCAAAACATAAACATCTGACAGTCCGGAGGCTCTGCAAAATGCACACAGATATGGGGCTTGTGTAAGGACTCAGGCAAGACAATAGTGCTTAATCTCCCAGCGGTGACGTTTCTTCCACGTCTAGAGATGAGAGACTGAGATGCAGCACCCCCTGGTGGACGTATTATGTATTGCACCCTACTGGCATCCTGACCAATGCCCTTTCAGTTAACCTCAGAATTATCTTAAACAGGTCTGAAAGCAATGTAAATATACCCGTGTAGTCGTTTTCTGACCTGTGCTGTGTGTGATGTAACAAATAGCAAAAGAGGCAAAATATTTGGCAAGCAAAAAAAAAAAAAAAAGACTCCCAGATGCAAGTATATATACAACTAGTTTCTGCAGTCTAAGAGAGCCAGGAGCTTGGTGACCAGCAGGGGGTGCAGTGTGTCAGTTAAATATATCCAAAATGTAATAATTCTGGTGTTATTATCGTTTTAAATGCCTAGTTAACAAGCAGACTTGATCAGTTTTAACACTAAAGATGTCTTCAGTACATCCTGCATTTTTCACAGAAACATGGAGTTACACTTACTGGTGACCTTGTGGTTAGGGTTGGGTTCAGTGGGAAAGTTGACCAGCACCCCGTTGGTCTCACCACGACGGCCGGCTTCGCCACCTGCTTCATCTTCCTCCCCGGCTCACTTGGCTGCATTTGTCCTGAAGCTCGCAGCGGGCATTGCAGTGGACGCCCTCCTCTCTGAGTGTGGGGTCCTTCCTCGCCCAGAGATGATGCGGGTGGAATGATGTAAGACGGTACACACCCTGGGGGGTGGGAACTGAAGACACGAGGGAAGAGCGGATTGTGTGGGATGTGGGCGGAGTCTGACACACTGCACCTCCTACGACCTCCACCCTCTCCTCGTTTTGTAAATTCTCTTGATGGTACTTTAATTGTAAACAGTTACGACTATTGCTGTTTTCAGATGTTGGTTTCTCTAGACGAGACATTTCCCGATGTTGAGTACGCTTTGTTTCCTCGTCTCTGCTATCGCTGCTCTACGTTCAGCTTTTTCCTGGGGAGGGGAGGGGCTGTTTCAGGAGAGCGCTGGTGCTCCAGGAGGAACTCACCATGGGTCAAACTCACCATGACCGTTCCTGAAGCCGTTGGCTGAGCTGGACCTGCAGGGAGCCTGTGGGGCCTTTAACGGCTCCGTTACCGTTTCTGCGTCCACTAAACTGGCCAGACAGCCGTGCACACAGCACAGTGCGTCTTACGCACTGCTCATCCCAGCTGTCCAGGCCAGACCCTGGGCAGGAACAGGCTGTTTAACCTTAATACGGAAAAGTAAAATGCGTAGTAAAGGAATCATATACAGCACATTCCACATCAAGTAGGGTGATGGAGGGAGAGAGCGACATTCCTCCGAGGACGTTGACAATGCAGACTCTCACATTAGCTTCTTACAGTAAGCAAACTCTGCCCTGCATCTTTACTGTGGCTTCTGTTGAGATTTTGACAGCCCATACATTCACACCAGCTCCTCCAATCATTTCTATGGGCAATAACAACCGTAACCCCCACCCAGCCCTAACCTTAACCATATGTAACCAAACAAAATACAAGACTTTTGGCATTTTCAGAATTTTGATTGCAGCCACAGATTTTTATAAAAATGAAGTTTCCCCTAGTAGAGACCGAGAAATGTCCCCACAAAGTAAAAAGAGCCAGGTTTGGTCCCCACAATGTAGTGTATACAAACACACAGACTCTACAGCCCTCCCCCTTCTGCTCAGTCCTCAGATCTTGCAAATTTAGATTGGAGTAGGAACTTCCCAATTATGATTGGTGGAGCCACCCATGATGGCAGATGACATCATCGGAATGGGCGGGGCCTTCTGAGACTGGGCGGACTTTCCCTGATTGTAGTAGCATCTCCTGACACAACTCTCCAGCTGCAGCCCCACCCTCCCTTCTCAGGGGGGAGATAATGCTGTCTGCAAGCACACGCCTCTGTGTGCCTGTGTGCACCTGTCTGTGGCTCCCCCTGGTGGAGAAAGCTGAAACTGACACCGATCCTTTCAGGATCTACACCTTTCAAGTATGAAATAAGCTGTTTGACCCATTGACCCTTTGGGCACAGGCTACAGAGAACAGTCATATTATGTACTGAAATGAAAAATGTATTCAGTTAGTTACACAATTGCAACTACTGCACTCTTACTCGACGTGTGCTGCCATTCTTGTTTTGGTCTGTGCTTAAAAAATGGCCCTGCATCGTAATTAAGATGCTGTCACGTTGTATAGGGCCTTCTGGGAGCTGGGAGGGAGCAAAAACGTTGACTGTCTGTGAGTCCCTGAGAACCGGATTGGGAAACACTGCATTAGAGGAAAAAATCATTAAACAAACAAACAAAAAATATATATATATATATCAATCAAGATGTTCTGTATATCCTGATGGAGTGTGTTGCTGGGATGTTTGTAAACGGCAATGAGTATCCCGTTTGCAGCACCAGAGTCCGACCAATCACAGCAGTGCACAAAGGGTTAATGTTAGACTACGGCCAAGCAGGCCGGCATCCAGTTTTCTTTTGCACATTTTTGAGATATTTCTATTCAGTATTTTTAAATGGTTCCAAGTGCCTTTTATTGTAGGTAAAATGTAGAAGATATACAGTATATAAAATATGAATATATATATATATTTTTCCCGGCACCATGTTCCAGAGCAGAACATGCAGAATTTTAGAGTTGTAAGTCTCCGGTTGGTACAGAATAGCAGTGTACTCCTGTTTTAGAGGAAGTTAATTATGATGTCATTGAAAAAAAAACAGAAAGCTGAATAAAGGTGTATTTGATAAATGCCGTGGTTCCTTTTATGAAACAAAGGGAATGAACATGGTGGGAAATCGGTGTCATAATGTGCAGATGCTTGCAGGTGAACCACTGAAGGATTTTATTGGACTTTAATTTACAGTGGGGGTGGGAGGGGGGGGGGTGCAGTTTGGGTCAGGTTTCTGCTTGCTGCTGTGTCTGCGGGGGCTTCTCCTGCTTCTGAATGGTGAGCTCCTCGTCCAGCCGCTCCTTGGCGCGTACCACCTGAGCACAAAGACAGGCTGATGTGGGCCCCCCATGCCTTACAGCCCAGAGGACATCACATTTACGCTGGGGGGCAGCTCATGGCCGACTTCACTGCAGATCCATGCTGTAATATTTCTGCCAGTTCTGACAGGTGAGCACGGCCCCTTTAAGTGCGCGATAAAGACCTAAACAGGCATTTAATGCAATGAAAGATAACAAAAGCTAACCTTACATGCAAAATATTCATACAAACATATTCAGCAGTTCATATTTGTCCTCTAGAGGACATTATGTTTTTACCCAAATCGCTCATATGACACAGGTCACTCTGTTAGGCCCTGCTGTCCTTTAAAGATGACATCACATGTGGGGGTGTGGCCTAGCCAACCTCCTCTTCCTATCAGATCAATATTTTAATCAGCATTAAAAAGCTTATTTCCCTGGATCTCAGGCGCATACGATTTAAAGAAAATGCACTTTTCAGAAGAATGTCCCCAAGTAAAACTTAATTGGAATGTGAGATTCAGAACACAAAAACGTTCACGTAAAGGCCCGTCGACCTCTGACGAACAGACCGATGTGCACTGGGATTTCCTCTGATCACATTCGATGTCTAGCAGCAGACTCAGATAACAGGATACAAGCCAAGCCCTGCACTCACCTTAGACTGCAGGTAAAATGAGCCACCAACAGCCTTATCGTTGACTTTAAACAGATGTTCGTAATTCTGTTGGGTGAGGCACAGGCATGATAAGTTGATCAAAATCACACACAGAGGAGCAGAGCCAGAAAAAGCCTTTCATATTTGTAAAAAAAAAAAAGTGTTTGTAAAAAGTGCAAACAGGTGAAGAAATAAAGAGAGAATAACACATTAAAAAAAACTGAGAGTGAGAAGATCAAATAGAAAACATTTCTGCAGGCAGCCTGGACAGTGTACTTTATTGTCAGGGATGAAAACTTGTGTACGTACCTTCTGGATCTCCTCAGGAGACAGCTTTGAAACATTGAGGATTTGCTGCGCCTCCTGCAGGCTCATCCCTGAGATGCTGGAGGCAGCGGCTGACTGCTGGCCCCCCCGCCCCCTGGCGTCCGCGGCGGCCTGGCTGGCTGAGGCATGAAACAGAAATTGAGCGAAGAACTCAGAGACCTACCACAAAGACTGAAAATTTGGCCAGTGAGCGCTGAAGGCGATTTGAGACACGTCTGCGTTATGCTCCCTTACCGTACCTGCAAACTCCTGCCGCAGCGCCCGCGCGAACGCGCGTCCCACCACCTGCGCGCCCACGACGATGATCTGGGCGAGGTACTTCGCCTGAATCCGGACAGGGGACACGGGGGAGACAGGAGAGTCAGGGGAGACGGGAGAGTCAGGGTGGAGAGACAAGTGACACAGGGGAGACGGGAGAGTCAGGGTGGAGAGACAAGTGACACAGGGGAGACGGGAGAGTCAGGGTGGAGAAACAAGTGACACAGGGGAGACGGGGGGAGACAAATGACACAGCGGAGATGGGAGAGTCGGGGG